GTTAAGTGAATCACTGCAGTTGTTAAATTAGTAACATGGTTGTTAAATGAATCACTGCAGTTGTTAAATTAGTAACATGGTGGTCCTCGACTTACAACAGTTCATTTAGTAACTGTTCAAAGTTACATCATAACATAAAGGGATTTATGACCATTTTTCACACTTATGACTGTTGCACCATCATGTGATTTATACTGGTTCATATTTATGATGGTTGCAGTGTCCCTGGGTCATGTGATCCCCTTTTGCAACTTGACAAGGAAGTCAATGGGGAAGCCTGATTCATTTAACAACCATGTTACTAATTTAACAACTGCAGTGATTCACTTAACAAATGAGGCAAACCTCACTTAACAAATTTCTCTTAGCAACATTAATTCTGAGCTCAATTGTGGTCGCAAGTCAAGAACTACCTGTAGGCTCCATCCAGTTAAGTTTGGCTAAGTGCTGCCACCTATCTGGGCCCTTTTGAATCCATCCACTTTGAAGATCTATTTTTTTCTTCTGGCTACCTTGAACAGGTTAAGCTATCATACCTTTTTGTACCAAGACAGCAACAAAAAACAAATTCACCAAGTAGTCTTCACCCACAAAAGAATATATGTATTATTTTGAATATGAAACACAAACTTTGCTCACAAAACATTTTGTATATCCTTCTACTAATAACTCAGCTTTGTAGTAGAAAATGAAGTTTTAAAATGCTTTAAAACTACACCTATATTTCTTTCCTTGGGCTGTTTTTGCTTCTTCAAATTCATAACTGTTCATAAAAGCATTCATTTTGACTTCTTGGATAAGGCGCATAGCAAGATTGTTTTAAAAAGCAATGCAACATATTTAAAGTAAAGTATTTTTGTATGTGCATTGTTTGTATTTTTTTGCAGTTGCTATGACCCTTATCCAAGTCAGTGTTAATGTAATTACAGTAGATCAACCTGTAAGAAGCTAAACTTTTATAAGGTAGCCAGCAAAGAAGTTTTCATCTTGCAATCTGTTTGCCAGCTTTTCCTTCACATCTAATTTTAAAGTTTATTTTGGTTCTCAAAAACATGCATAAACCCTTCAGTTTATTATGTGTACAGTTGCAATGATTTATGACCATGTCTGACTACCATATACTCAAATACAGCTACAATTTTCTGTTTCTAAAGGCGGAAAAGAAAAGTTGACCTACGTTTAAAGCATTTTTATATTATTTGCATATAGAGATATATTGCTGGAATGTGATAATGAAAATGTTTAACAAACAAAATAGTTAGCTTTTCTTTTTTTGAAATAGAGGTCTTTGCGTGAGGGGAATGTACTGTTTCCATAACTATTTTGTATCTTCTAATTACTTTATAGAGAAATAGTAGAACTTGCAAATAGTATTCCTTTAACAATCATCACCCTCTTCCTCATAATAACTATTGCATTTCAAAGAGTAGTTTGAAAGAGACATGACCTAATAGAGTTTCCCTGTGAAAGAGGAAGGATGTATCTGAGAGTGAAAATTCCTGTAATACAAGAGGCGAACTCTTGCCTTCTCCGTATGGCTGAACTAATATTCTAGCATTCGTCATCATTGAAAATGCTGGGGAGCCTACATTCTTACAGGCAATATTCCAGAATAGTTTTCAGAAAATCTGAAGAAAATTCACTAAACACAGCTCTACAACTGATGGAAACTTTCAGTCATGGAGCCTTCATTCTATTCAGGTTTAATGGGACTCTCTACAAAATAATAACTTACCTGTAATAAGTAATTGAACAGCTGTAACAATTTTATATTTTGTTTTTTATGTGAGCTGCCTTTTTCTTGGCATACAAATATGTTCAGGAAGCAAAATGACACAAAAGATAACACAAAGGTCAAGGGATTAATTGATTCAAGTTTAATGAATGAAAAAAGGTATAAAGTTCTCAAAGTGTACATTTGAAAATGCTACCAATAAGAATCATCAACAGTGGAGCATACATAACCTAATTTTCTACTTCTTTGTCTCCATCTTTACATCACTGATCAACAAAATGCTGTAGGATTGATAAATAGCATTTTTAAAAAATACTTACCAGTTTCCCAGATCTGAAATGATTCCCTTGATTTCTGGAATTGCTGGTGTCTGCAGGACTATATAAGTTGCATTTATTTGATCAAAACAAGACCAGAGGATCTGTTACAATATTCAAACTAACAAAATACTTTGATGGATCATCAACCTCACTGCAAAGCCGAAGTCCAATAATAAAAAGAGCAAATGTCTGCTGCTTCACACAACACAGTATTATTTATATTAAGGCAAATAAAGGGCCTACATATTGTGTGCATTGTTTCAAAATCCAGAGGTTTGTTATGTAAATCCAAGTAAAATTAGAATTAACAGACACTAAATAGTATGACTCTAGTCAGTACTAACATGATTTATTTTATACTACCGTAGCTTGATGTATCATTATAACCAAAAATTTAAAAAACAGACGCTAATGCAATTTTAATAGCATTATTAATAGCAGGATTAATGTATGAATTATGATATGAATGTTCAACCGTGAAACTGTGAAAGCACTTGCCTCTCTACCACTAGGTATTCCTTTAACAATCAAAATTTTTGCAAACCTATAAGCATTTACACTTTGGACTCAATATAGGTACCCATATGAGATTCTGATGACAATTGTACCACCAGCATGAATTCACACACTACTAAAGTGTAACTTTTCTTAGTTAAAGGGTGCAGGTAAGGAAAGAACTTTCCTCAGAAAGATAAATATTTAACAATATTCCAGGAGATTCATTTTAAAGGCCGTATCAATGATTTTTTCAGTATTCCCCCTCCCCCCAATCAGCATAAAAGTAGTTAAATCTTAGTAGGGGATATGCAACATCTTTCATGCATGGAATACTGTAGTTGATTTCCGAGGTTTTGTGATTAAATTAAAATATATATTTGAATGTTCAATGCCTGGAACAAAATGGAGCTGTTCTGAACTGAGCAGAAATGAATTATGGGAGGTAAAGGAAAAAGCTAAGGTATCAGTAGCTGAATTAGGGAGACCGGGGGCAACAAGGGCAGACCAGCCAGTGGGATATTTTGTGCTGGGACACTGGCAACAGCAATGGTTAACGAAAGCAAAGGCAGAAGGTGCTGGGAAGACTGGAGCTTTTGATCCTTATGAAACAGCAGATCCGAAGCAGTTCAGCAGAACTCCCCTAATTTATTCTTGGTTTAAAACAAAATTTCCCTCTATTTTATGTATATGCTTTATCTTATGGAATTTAGATTTCTAGACATCAGTAAATACAGTGCTCAAGCGTAGCTTGCTTATAATGGTGATCACATCAGTATAGTTACTATATCCTCAAAAATTGTACTTTGTTCACATCTATCCTAAAATGATAAATAGGGTGTATTTCTGTAGGCGGCCTTTATTCATAAATTAGACTGCTCATAATGAAATTATTTTTCTGATATATCTATTAATATGGAATAAATACTTGAAATAGTTCTATATCCTAAGCTGTTAGTTTTGAGAATTGTGGTAATTTTTAGTGCCATAACCCAGCACAACAGAAAAACCTCCCATGTTGGTAACAGAAAAAGATTATTTTCAGCTGTATTCTAATTTAACCCTAAAGCAAGCATTATTGATGTGGAATAATCAATTAGTAAGAATCAAATTCAAGTGAACTAAATTATATCAACTCTGGCATATTTTACTTAACTTTACAATGTGAGTTTTAAGAAAAATCTATTAAACCCTTTGTTTCTAGGTGGAAATTTTGGCAAAAAGAAATTCCATCATTATGGAAGAGTCATTGTTTCATAAACATGCCACAGATGGCATTGAGAAGACTGAAAATGCAAAGAAGCAACAGTGTCATATACACGGAATGCTTAGGAAAAAAACATTTGTGTAGGCATGTTGAAGAATTCATATTTCTGGTCTGCTGTAGATAATCCTTACTTAAAACGTTTAGGTAACTTGGGCTGCTAGATTTACAGTAAATGTTTATAAGTAGTTGAGATATGATAATGTTGGCTAGACAAAGCAGAAAATTAAAGATATGGAAACATGCAATTCCAATGAGGTGTAACTACAGCTTCACACAAACCACCAATTTAAGTAGTACAGCAGTGCTACAAAAAACATTTACTTGAAAGAATACTAGATACCCAGAAGCAGTATAAGAGAGATGAAACTAGTTAAGTGAGAATAGCTTATATTCTGTAGAATTGTCAATTAGGGGCCTAGACTTCAGAATATAGTGAATCGTAACTAAAAGCCCATCATAGCAAAGATGTGCTTTTCATCAATAACGCTGGTGGGCGTAGGTAAAGAGAAATAATCAAATACTTCATTTATGCATTTCTATTTATGACAAAAATATCTATTCCCCCCCACCCATAAATAACAAGATTATTTTCCAACCAACTCAAATGGTTTCCAACTTCAAAGAAGTATATCACTCTAGGTCTGACTAAAATAAATCCATACACTAACCCAATTTGCCTATATATCACAATCCCTCACTCCCTTTTGAAATGGGAGCCTATGAGTTTTAGATTCAAGAAAATATTTTCCTCCTAATATTACTAGTGACTCCATCCTCATGTACTAACATATTATTTGTAGTACAGGATTTCAAACAAACATCACG